AGAATCCTGGGGCGGTCAGCGTGCAGAACGATTATACATTGTCGGTATTTTGATATTCCTCACTCCAAGATCCTCTGTGCGAGGATACTGCCTGAAAATGCAACTTCACACACTTCTTACATGCAGTATTGCTCTGTTTGTTGCAGCCCTAGCCACACCAGTGGCGGAGACCCCTGTAGAGAATCGCTTGGAATACAAAGACAGATGCGCAAGCGATGGAAGCCTGGGTTGGTGTATGCCAGGTTACTATTGCAAGGTACGTGAGCAGCACTCCCGCTAATCCCGAGACCATAATCACCCACACTGATACCTTCCTAGCAAGGACTGACCGACCGGTATGGGAAATGTTGTTATGAGGGTTCCGGTTGGGCGAGATGCTGATTGACGGAGACACTGTACTGTTAGAGGACCACCCAATTCACTCACTGCACCAGAAGCTGGGTTGCATGGGGTAGGACGATTCCAGTAAACGTAGTTCACGATCAGGGTATCGGGTTTGGGCCTAACGCCTGGCCGTAGTCCGGACCAAGAATTTCGCTTGGTTGCAACTCATAACTGCGTAGACCTGCATTCCTTGAGCTCAAGCGGGCCTCAGGCGTAGAAGAGGAGATTTATCCAACAGTGTTGAGTGATGACGGTCGCCGACGAAAGTCCTGCCCACACCAATGGGACTCCATTGAATGCCTGCTCGGTATCAGTTACTATCGTGCAGCCACGGTTGACGGCAGCAAAGCCGTATTCTTGATCTCTGAGCATGAGGAGCAGAGGCTCGCAGCTGAGAGTTGGTGCAACAAGGACAGACACTTTTTGTGCTTGATTTCCTGGATTGAGCGGAAGCCGAGCCAAAGTCTCCCAATAAACGTAACTGTTCTATGTCGCTCGGGCGAACGTAAGAGCGTTCTCGGGACTGATCTAGAGATATATGGCTCTACTTAAGACTTGTGAATATCTTTGAGCTGCTCTGATTCGAGAATAACGTCCCCAAGCGTGTAGCAGTACAGTGCCGACCGCTATCGCCTTCCATGTTCTAAACAGAGAGAGACTGTTTGACACCCTAATCATGTGATCAACTAATCCAGATATGACTAGCTGTAAATAATCCGTTCTGTACCTAACTAGATAATACCATACCTTGTATGGCTCAGTATTGGAAATACGGTAATTCACTCCCGAACTTCCGATTTCTTCGCTGTACAGGTTAGTGGAGGATTTGTTCGAATTAATTGACGAAGCACTTTGCGTTCGCTTAGATGCGTGGCTGCAACGCGTCAACAGTTCATTAGTTTTCAGCAGGCTTCTGATAACAGGGTTAAAAGTACAGTGCATAATGGAAGCTAGTTTCACCAATGGAGTTGAGAAACGTGGTAAAAGCCACATACATATGTCGCATGCTAGAGTGGCATGCATGTAAGATTTAGTTCTATACAGGAATACTTCGGAATACTTTGTCTAGGCTAAAGAAATACGTCCATGTTCCATGATTGCCTTGGAAATTCGACCCCTCCCCTGAGCCCTCGAATATAAATTTGCGAAGTTGCCCTCAATTTCTCTATGGACGCCGGAAATTTTCGTACATTCCTTATGACATAAATAACCTTGTAATTCTGAAAGAGTTTTTGTGAGTCAACGATTCTTGACAACTACTTAGAACTGACGTTGATTGAAACTAGTTCTCCTAGAATCTTCTCAGAATATCGAAGATGGTGGGCAATGCGGACGTTAAGCAGCCTCAACTACACGCCAAAGTGTTGGCGAAATCTAGTCTGGAAGACCTGCCAGGACTCACAGAATCTTTTCAGAGATCAACTTTGGAGGACAGCCCTTTTTTCTTGTTTATCGATACCCTCGACGGCCTAGTCGAGCTGCTAGAAGGTCTAGCTGAACTTCCTGCTTGGCCCCCCTCTCTTTTCATCGACCTTGAGGGTGTGAACCTTTCTCGACACGGCACCACCTCTGTACTTCAAATTTTTGTTTCCTCGACACAAAAAACATTTCTCGTCGATATCCTCTCCCTCAAGGACAAGGCTTTCTCTCATTCCACTTCGGATGGCTCAACCTTACGTTCCATTCTTGAATCGCCATCTATTTCAAAAGTTTTCTTTGATGTGCGTAATGACTCAGACGCCCTGTTCAGCCAATATGGGATAGAATTGGCTGGAGTACAAGACCTTCAGTTGATGGAGCTTGCAACGCGTACATTCTCAAGAGACTTGTCAATGGATTAGGCAAGTGCATTGAACACGATGCTCCGATGACCATAAGTGGGAGAGCAAGATGGAAAGCGTGTAAAGACGGGGGACGGAAACTTTTTGCTCCAGAATGTGGCGGTTCTTATGAGGTGTTCATCATCCGCCCACTATCAGCCGAAATCATGCAGTACTGTGCGCAGGATGTCCGACTTTTGCCCAAATTATGGCATAAATACTACCAACGGATGACTCCAAGTTGGAGACGGAAGGTGGAGGAAGAGGTAAAGAACCGTATCGAACTTTCTAAGTCCGCAACCTATAATGGCAAGGGAAGACATATGGCGCTAGCACCCAAAGGGTGGTCGTGACTTAATCTCAACGGAAGCACCATCTTGTGAGACTATGTATACATGCAATTGCCCAAAAATGAGAAATATGAGTCTTCTTACATGAGGTGGTAGTCTTTGAATGAGCTAATCAGATTGTTACGTGGTACGCCCTGGTATCGGGATGCCTTCATGTTTAGGAAAAATCACCATTTAATTTTACGAGTGTAAAAATTGATACAGTACGAAAATTACCTGCCCTCCGTGTTGAAACTTCAATTCGACCTTCAAACAGGGACTCAAATACATGACTAACCATTTCGATACTAGCACATCATGTGATTAGGGTTTCGAAAGACCAACTCTGTGTTATCGGACATGGAAGGCGATAACGGTCGGCACTGTACAAGTAAAGCGTTCTATGTTGTCCTACGACATGTATAGATCATTTTATGTGGTGATTTTCAAGCAGGGGCTTATAGTAAAACGCTGGTCAGCGATCATGGGTCATTTTGGGACACAATAAAATCAGATCAGAAAGAGGTTTCCGTGACGCAGAGGCTCTCGAGAGAATCCTCATGCGAGGAAAATAGCCATGTGAAGGCATTCTTGATTCTAAAATTCAGCTAAGAGGTAAATGATCATGTGAAAACACCTCTTCGAAACCCAAGCCTTCTAGAAGCCTTAACTCATAGCCATTACAATCATAGAGCCTCGTTTACAGAAGCCTACAGCATGAGGTATAGCTGCTGCATTCGTCTTTCAGACGAAACGCAGGATACCTCTTCAGCAAGTCCGTCTATTTCCTCTCCTAACTGATACTGTAAATCAATTCATCACCGCAGCACGGACATCTTGGTACAGTAGTGGGCAGCTAATGAAACGAAAAACGTAGCTCAACTCTAATTCTTTGAAACCAACACACCGGAGAAAATTGAAAGACCAACGAACTCCGTGGAAGGATTCTATTGACTGTTCGCTGCCGAAGGCGGAAGCTGTTCGCACACGCAAATTGATATATATGGGAACCGGAAGCCATTGAGATGTCCATTGATTGATAAAACTATAATACATTTTTTTGCAAGTTGCCACTTAGCCCCTCCTTTTGAACCCCTGTATCAGCTTAACTGAACGTACGAGCACACACCAGAATGATGACTTAGTACTTCCCCTGTTCAGTCCATGCGATGTGGTAAGCTTTCCTTGCCACGACGGCTAACAGAAACATAGGTGCTCCAACTGCGCTAAAGAGAATCCAGATACATAACATAATCACGTCGCTCTTGCATTCCCACAGCACTTTCGTCGGCGATAAGACGATCCTGATACTTGGTGGCGATGCTCTGCGGCATATCCATGAGGCACATGGCCAGTTGTACGTCCGGGTCGTGAGGCTTCGCCATGTTGCGCGCACGGACAGTACGGTCAATTTCTCTAATAGGGCCCGCAGCCAATGGCCCAAGATCATGGCATCCTAGCTCTGGTGTAGATTCGGCCGTTAGGCATCTCCAACATGGTTCAGCCGTGAATTGCGTACAGCCGCCAGAAGTCATTGTGGCGGCGGAGGAGGTTATTGCCCCGCTTGCGGATCTTTTCTTGCTTCACACGGTTCCGAGAAGATACCATTAGCACGTACCGCAAAATAATCGCGGCCTAGAATCCAGTGCACATATTTTTTAGGTTATATGAATCTACAAACATTGTGTTGATGTAGACTACCAGCCCAAAATCGAAAAGTCTACTTACTAAGAATCTTGCACCCTTGAACACAGGCAATCTTTATGGAGGGCATCGCGGTGCAGAAAGAAGAGGTCCAGTGAGCTATCAACCGTACGCCCATGCTAGCCCTCAGAAAGATGCGAAGTACCGGGGCTATGCTCATATAGCAGACCCCCGGCAGATGCGACCCCTATATGGGCCTGGTTCATCTCATGGACCCTGGTAAGTCCATTTTCAGCGCTTTTTACTGTATGGCCGTTGTAGTAGGATGGCCAATCAGAGGGCGCCAATCGGGGTGTCCTCCCGGTTCCCTTTTCAGTGCTGTCTGTCACTGCAGCTCGCCTGACTTCTTTTATCCTCCTTCCTCACGGTCCTCGTCATTCACCCCTCTCTGTTGCAGACTTTCTTGTTAAAGGGTCTCCTGAATGTCTTACGGCTGGCTCCACATCCACCGAAGGAGCCTGCTGTCTGTCGCTACGAACAATTCCGTTGCGAGGGCCGCTGCCTCTACCTCCGCCGCGCCGCCGTGTGGTTCTAATACTTGTTCGCCTCTTTATCGCTCCATCACCAATTCCATATGATTCACCTTGTCGCCTGCAAGGTCATTATTTTCTCGCGATCCTGAATTTTCTGCCTATTGGCGCTCTAGTCGACACACTTCTTTTTGCCCGGCCGCTGCAACGCCCGGTGTCACCACGAGCATCTGCCCTAGTCAGGCGCCCGTCCGCTCTCTCAGCTCGCTCATTATACACTCAACCAGACCCCGTGGTATACGTCTCCGTACCGACCAGATGGATTTGAATGGAGACGCAGGCGCCAAGCGCAAGTGCAGCTCTATCACCACACCCGCTGAACGGCCCGTAAAGCACCTTCGCCCCGAATCGAGCGCATTGACACCTGGGGATTCAACTCCTGCCAATGGGACTGTATACGATGTGGAGGATGATGAAGATGCGCGTCGTCTGCTGCCTGTAGGGCCTGCTCAGGGTAACTCGCCGGAATGGCAAGCTACCTTAGAGGAGGTTGTGAAGAGCGTTGTGTCTATCCACTTCTGTCAGACATGCTCCTTCGACACCGAGCTGTCCATGAGTAGTCAGGCTACTGGGTTTGTGGTAGATGCAGATAATGGATACATATTGACAAACCGACACGTGGTTTGCCCGGGACCTTTTTGGGGATACTGCATCTTTGATAATCATGAGGAAGTATGTTGTACATTCCACATGCGGATCGCCTTGTGACAGCGATGCTGATTTAAATTGGTTACTAACTAGTGCGACATTCGTCCTGTATATCGGGACCCTGTACACGACTTTGGAATTTTGAAATTCGAACCGAAGGCCATTCGATATATGAAATTGAGGGAGCTGAAACTGCAGCCGGGTGCAGCTAAAGTGGGATCAGAGATTCGCGTCGTGGGTAATGACGCAGGAGAAAAATTGAGTATTCTGTCTGGTGTCATTAGTCGGCTGGATAGAAACGCGCCTGAATACGGCGATGGCTACAGTGACTTTAATACGAATTACATCCAGGCCGCCGCAGCAGCTAGCGGTGGAAGTTCCGGCAGTCCTGTAGTTAACATTGATGGCCATGCGATTGCTCTGCAGGC